TAGAGAAATCTGCTTGGATGGTCCTTAAACAACAGCTTGACCAAGTGGAAAACATTTTGTTTTGGGGTTCTTACCACCTTTTAATTGCCCCTGTCTCAGTTTCAAGAAGGGCCATTTCAGAAGTCCTGGCATTTTTTTCAATACAAATCCAAGGAATCACTCAAATGGCAGAACCTACCTGGTGGCAGGCTGTAGGAGTTGGGATACAGATTTGACTGTTGGAAATGAGACACCAGATAAGACTTATTTAAGCAAGATAGAGGATTATTTCCCTCACATCTAAAAAGTCTGAATTGAGGCAGTTCAGGGCTGGATTGATGGCTCCACTGTCACTTGGGACCCAGGATGCTTTCAACTTTCTGTTCCATTATCCCCAGGGTATTGTTGTTACTGTTAAAGTGCAAGGCAGAGCTTCAGGCACTACATCCACTTCCAACTGGCAGAACAGGGAAGACTGAAGGAGAAGAAGGCTCACTTCTTCCACGTACCTGGGAGTTGTTCCCAACACTTCCGTGATCTTCAGGAATAAATTAATTAATACAAGTAGAGTTTTGAGCAGTGCTTGGCTTAAGAAGGCCTTTATCTCAATAACAATAGCAAACATAATAATAATTAGTATAGCTAATAATTATTTAATGTTTATGTACCAGCCACTAAAAAGTGTTACTGTTACGGAAAGCCAGACTCAAGACACGATTCAGGGAACGGAGTAAGCCTTTATTCACACGCGCGGGCTCAGAGGAGGCAGTCTCCAAATTCTGAGCCCTGAATCGGGGTTAGATAGGGGTTTATAAGCCCTAGCATTCCGGCAGGAAACGGATGGGCTTCCCAGGTGGGGGAAGGGATTAGCATTCAGGTGGGAGATTGATGAGATTGATGTGCTACCCAGGCGGGGGAAGGGATGTGAAAACGGGCTACAGGAACAGATAAGCAATGATTAACAGTTAACCTGGGAGGGGTCTCTGGCTAGGCTGCTCCGCTTAAGTCATCTTGCCCTTATCATTACCTCACTTAATCCTCATCACACTCCAAGGTAAGCACTACATTATTTCTGTTTCACAGACAAGAAAAATGAAGTAGAGAGATCTCAGAGTTTTGGGTGGCAGAGCATCCAGTTAAAGCTGTTAAATTTTATTCCAAAGTCCATTTGATTAGCCAGTAACCCACACTCACATCTACACTGTTTTTTATATTTTTTGGGGAGGGGGTGGAGGTATTCAGTAGTATCATATTAAAAACTTATTCTCATATCTAAAGACAAGTAATCCTCAAGAAGGATGGACAATTGTTTCAGAAGACAACTTAGTAATATGTATCAAGAAGCTTTGAAAAGACAGGCATGAAGATATCACAGCAATATTTATGCTATCAAAAACTAGAAACAGCAAAAGCCTCCAACATAGGGATATGTTTTAGTTAAGCTATGGAGCATCAATTCAATGGAATATTATCACTGGAGAACAAACACTTTCACAGGATCTTCCAGGACACGGGAAATAACTAGGATGTAAGTTGTACAATGTTTGCAAATTTATGTATTTTTTAAAAGTTCATGTATAGCAAAACGAAAATGTTGAGAAAGATTATATATAGATGATGGGATTTGTTGAGTTTTTCTTCTTTATACTTTTCTTTAAAACATGCACATTTTCTTAATGAATGTGCAATGTTTTGTAATACATATTTTAATTTCATAGTAACAGTACATTTAGTGATGAAGTTTGTCTTGGTGATGACCTAATATTCACATGGCCTCAAGAAATATCTTTCAAGTGCCTCTGAATTCCTAGCTGAGAAGTCTGTATGACTTTAAACTGGGAGGAACAAGCATGGTGACTGTAGCACCGACCTGGTAATTAGAAGTTTCTTCTTGATCCCAGGAAGGGATCAAGATCAGCCTCTGCTATACATAAATCACATGACCTTGGCCAGGCCATTTCCTTTTAGAATCTCCATTTGAAACTAGTATCCATCCCTATTGTGAATCTCCTTTTCCTGCCACCTTGTGCCTCTGGCCACGGATTCATGGACCCCCTGAAATCCCAAAGCATTAAGTTATTCACTCAGATGAATTTGCTGCTGTGTACAGTCAGTATTTAAAATTTAAAAAATTAAATAGAATAATACATGTTAATTAAATCTCATTTTAAATGCCTTTTAGTATTTTAATTTAAATATTTCAATAATACATAACACATAGCGCATGTTATAATAACCACATGTGTAATTAGCAACTTAGTTTTGTTAAATCTCAGCATTTTGCCATTTTTGCTCCATACACACACACACATTTTAAAGACATAAAACATTAGGAAAGCACATGATAATCTTTACTAGGCCCAGTCTTCACTCTGCCAGAGGTACCTACTTTCTGAATATGCTGGTTCTACTTCCTCTGCATATTTTTAGTTTACTGCATGTGCTAAATCCATAAATAATACTGGGTTACATGTATTTAGCATTATAAAATGGATATACTGTATGTATATTTGAAACTTACCTTTTTATACAATTATATATATTTTAAAATTTTATTTATTTAATTTTAGAGAAGAGAAGGAAGAGAGAAAGAGAGGGAAAGAAACCTCATGTGTGGTTGCCTCTTGAGCACCCCCAACCGGGTGCCTGGCCCACAACCCAGGCATGTGCCCTGACTGGGAATCGAACCAATGACCCTTTGATTCGCAGGCTGGCGCTTAATCCACTGAGCCATACCAGCCAGGGCCAATGATATATTTTTGAGATGATTTATATTAATCCATGTAGCTCTACTTCACTAACTGTAAGTTCAGTATAGCATTCCATCCTATGAATATGCCACAATTTATTTATCAAGTAGTCTGTTGGTGAACATTTTGATCTTTTTAAAAACAAATTTTAACCGGGCGGGGTAGGTGGAGGTGGATGTGGAAAAGGGGTGTGTGTGTGTGTGTGTGTGTGTGTGTGTGTGTATGTGTGTGTGATAAATGGTAATGGAAAAATACAATAAAAAATAAAAGGAAAACACCGCCAAGTTTTACCATCATAAACAATGTTGCAATGCATAGAATTGCACTTGTCTCTTCCTGCACATCTGCATTGATTTCTATGGGGTCCATGCCAAAGAGTGAAGTTGTTCAGTCTTTGAATATGTAAATGTTTGGCTTTACTAGATATTCCTCAAAGTGGTTGCCCCCCACTACTTTCCCACCAGCAGTGCATGAGCATTCCCATTGTTCACCATCCTTGGGGAGGTGAGGGGAAGGTACATATCTCATCAAAAAACACCTTTATTCATAATGTAGTTCACATACGATCCACCCATTTAAAGTGTATATATACTTTAATAGATTTTAGTGTATTTACAGAGTTGTGCAAGCATCACCACAATCAGCTTCGGAAGAGACCCAACACAAAAGTTAACTGTCATTCCCCAATCCCCCTACCTCCAGCTCTAGTCAACCACTATTTTACTGCCTGACCTATAGACTTGCCTATTCTGGACATTTTCTATGAATGGAATCATATGGTATGTGAACCTTTGTGATTGACTTTTTTCACTTACCATAATGTTTTCAAGGTTCATCCACGTTTTAGCATGCATTGGTACTTCGTTTCCCTTTATTAATGAATAATATTTTATTATGTGGGTATGCCTTATTTTATTTATCTAATGATAAACATATAATTTTTTTCTACCTTTTGGCTATTACAAATAATGCTGTTGTAAACATTCCTATACAAGCTTTTAGGAGGACATATGTTTTTATTTCTTTTGGGTATGTACCTGGGAATAGAAATGCTGGGTCATATGCCAACTCTGTCTAAACTTTGGAGGAACGGACAAACTGTTTTCCGCGGTGGCTGCTCCATTTTACATTCCTAGTGTTGGGTTTTTCACATCCTCACCAACACTGGTTGCCTGTCTTCTTGATTCTGACCATCCTAGTGGGTATGAAGTGGTATCTTATTGTGGTTTTGGTATATCTCACCGTTTTAATTTGCACTTTCCCATTTACTAGTGAAGTTGAGTATCTATTTATTGCCGATTCCTGTTTTCTCTTCTGTGAATGTCCTGTTCATGTATTTGTCCATTTCCCACTTGCCCTCACTCATTGATTTGTTGGTGTTTAAAAATACATTTAGATATTAAATCTTTCGCTGATTTTATGCACTGCAAATATATATCTTCTAAACATGTGGATTTATTTGCTTTTCTCTTTGTTTTTGTTTAATTGTATGCAGTTTAAGTTTTAATGCAGTGGACTTTAATCAAGCTTTCTTTCTTCTTCTTCTTTTTTTTTGTTTGTACTTTTTGAGTCTTGTTTAGGAAATCCTTCCTGCCCCCAACGTTATAAAAATATTTTCCAATAATAAATTTAAGAGCTAACTTTTCATTTTTCACATTAAAAGTTTAATCCAGAGCAATTTGGCCTTTACTTCATACTTCCCCTTTCTGTGTCTGCTGTAGAGGAGTACTTCTCAAGATTTTGATGCAGCAACCTGTGGTGAGGGGAGGTGATATGGATCAATATGTAAATAATATGGAGAAGTGTATCCAGAACATCATGTGTTCCCCAGTCTGGTGGCATATGCACCTTCTACAGTTTCTACCTCACTGGTGTGATTCATGCATAAGTACCTACTCATAGGGCAGAGCTTTTTCTGCCCCTGGAGCTCCCACTCAGCCTTCGAATCTGCCCAATTTCCTGTGCAGCAGACCTCTGGTTATAAGCCAGGTTCTCCCTGAATCTCTACTTTCCAGTTAAGCTGATGTTTAGCCACAGGCTAGTGGGGGCTCTGTCAATCCCAATGTTCTAATCCAAATGTTCCATTGGGTCTAGGTTGGGAAATAGTGGATTGGAGCAGGGAGACCATCAGCCTGGCTCCCCATGCTCAGTTTCAATCCTGTTCAAAGAAGTGGGAACAGAAACTGGAAAGCCAGCAGCAACCCAGACAACACCCTCACCACTCCCCCTGTCCCCTGTCCTGTTTGTCATCTCTCTCTGGGACTGTATGATCTACCTCTGATTTCTTACTCTCTGATTTTGTTTTCCCCTTGTAGGTCCACAAGGCATTCCTGCCACTGTACATCGGACTAATGTACACCCAGCACATCCAGATTTCCTCCTTTCTCTGTTCATGCCCTGGGCATAGACTGCAGGCACTCTTGGTCTCAAATCTGAATTTTTAGGAAGACAGTTGGTTTGGTCATTTGGTTGACAGGGTCCATACACTTGGCTATATTCACTGCTGGGGAGGTCATCAGGTGTTACCCCTATTTCCTGGACGGTGGGGGCGCATAGTATTTTGGAGGAGTAAGGCTGGCCAAGCAGATTGGTGGGAGTGTCACTGAAGGTTCCTTGTGCTTCCAGGGCAAAGGCGTGGCAGGAAGAAGAGGAAGTTCCCCAGGGGCTCATACCATCTCTCCAGGTCCAGAGGGCAAGCTCCAAAAGAGTGAAAGAGAAACAGAGTCCACTGACCCCAAACATGGTCTTTAGGAAAATGGACTTCTCAGTGGGGCGGGACAGATTACAGGTTATACTACCAAGGCAAGGCTCTCGACGACATGCGAAAGAGCTGGGCATCTTGAAGCCATAGAGATGGTACTGCCCTCCCAAAGCTGCCCCCTCAAGGACCAGTCGCACCCCCAGCTGTGCCACATAGGCCCAGAGCAGCCTGGGCCTTCCAGCCCCTGAGGCATCTGCGCTGCCGTGTCCTTGTCGAACCAGGGTCTCCTCTTCCTTCTTCACCTTTCCTGAGTCTTCCCAATGCCAGATGCCATGATACATGGTGCAACCCATGTAGAGGACACTGGGCACAGCCACCAAGATGACCTGGAAGGCCCAGAAGCGCAGTGGGGAGAGGGGGTGGAAGGCATCGTAGCAGGCAGCCTTGCAACCTGGCTGCTGGGTGTGACACACGAATTCGCTCTGCTCATCGCCATAGACCCCGGTCCCACTGGCAGCTAGCAGCACAAGGTGGAACCCCAGGAGCACAGGAAGAAGGAGGCGCCCCACAGGGGTGGAGTGCCAGCTCTCCTCAGCCACCAGCCGCCTCAGGAAACTGCCACACATCCTGCTATGGAGCACTGAGATAGGTTATTATGAGTGATTGTAACCTACGGGGGGTTCCAGAGTTGCTGGGGATTATTTTGCTTGAGTTCAATCAAGAACCTTGTTGTCCCTCTGGAGCACTGGTGAGGTAGGGTTTTTCATGCCCTATATTGGCTGAGCAAGCACTGAAAAATGACCTGACTCTCTAGCTTGTGCAAGAAATCTAAGATTCTCTACTGGGTGTCTATGAGGAATCTCTGGTTCATTTATGGCCTTGTAATCACGTCCCCTTTAGGGTCACCTCCCAGGACAGGTATTGGGAGGAAGCACACTTTGGTGGTTAGCAATCTCTAGAGTATCTGTCCCCATTCAAGGATGGTCAGTGTCCTTAAAGAGTGTTAGCTGGCATGGAATCTGAGAAAAGCATACCTCTGAGATGATGTTTTTATTTTTAAAATAAGATGAAAAGTTGGGAAGACATCGGCACTTTAAAAACACAGTAAGATCTATGTCATACAAAGAGGACCAAGGGTGAAACTCAGGCTCAGGTGCAGGCAGATATGGACAGGTAGTGGGGATGATATTTTCAAAAAGCAAGGGTATACAGAACGTAAGAACAAAAGGTAAATCCATCTGGAGACAGTAAAAAGCTGAAAGAACACAGAAGAAATTGTTCAGTTTCTTCATTTTCTTTTTCATTCCATGAAGAATGAAACACAAAAGTGAGAAACCCTGAAAGTGGAGCAGGAGCTACGGGCTGAAATCTGCCAGCGGCCATCGCCAGTGGGGCGGGGATGGTTCCCAATGTGAAAGGAAACCTAGACTTCTGCTTGGAGGAGAGTGAGGTGAGGATGTTTTCACTTCTGTTCTCTTGGAAAACCACTCCTTCAGCAACAGTGAGAATGAAGGAACGAAACACAAACTCCACTTGAAAAAGTAAGCTCGAGGACATGTGTGGCCCTGAGATACACTACCTGAAGATGCAGAGTAAGTGAAGAGGGTCAAGAGGAGAGGGGGCCGCGGCGCCTCACTCTTCAGTTCGTAGCCTGTCATTTCCTCCCCGCGTTCTACCTGGCAACTCATTTCCAGGTGCCATCCACATCCATGCCTCGTGTTCCTGAATTTGGAGCAGGGACCTTGGCTAGATCTCTCCAGAAAAAATACCTCCCTTCTCTTGGGGGATGAAAAGTCGGACTTCTTGTTATACAGACTGTCAAACAGCACTTTCCCGTCCTGTGTTCAGTCCCTCGCCTAATGCCGCGTCCTGTGATGTCTGCGTGGCCAACGCAAGGCTCTTTCCAGTGCTTTTGATGCCAGTTGGGTGGTCCCTCCACAGAGGGCTGTCCTCTGCTCTGCCGAGCACGAGGGAGGCTGGATGGGAGGCTAAAGGTGCATGAGGGCTCTGGAGTCAGGAGCGCTGTTGAGCCTCTATCCCAGGTTCCAAAAGAGAAGTACCAGAGTCCAGATTCCAAATACCAGATTCCAGACTAAAGGTAGGTGACTTGGTGACTAACAATAACCTATCTAAGTTGGGACACTAAAGCCTGACCAACCTGGAGGCCAATGCCCATTTATTCCTAGGCATTTAATTCCTTTTGGAGCTATTGTGCCCGCCCTGCCACAATATTCCTCAATTCTTTGTTGTTGAGCCCCTAAGAGGTGCTTCTGCAACTCCTCCTTTTAATTGCGAGCAACTTAAAAGTTTTTTACCAATGAAGACCTTTTGGGAGGGGCGGTGCTGGGCTAAAGTTAGACAGCCAGTGTCTGTTGCTTGTCATCCAACGATGTTGGTGGACACAATTCTGCAAGACTGCAGGGGCTGCGAAGGCAGCTGTGTGCACCAATCCTCATGCCTCAGCCCACGTGGTAAGTCTGAAGTGACAAGAAAACGTGGGAAACAGAACACAGAAGATGAGATGACAGCAATCCATTTAGCTGGCTCTGGAATGGCAGTGTATTTAAGTAGGTTACTTTCCCACATTAAAATCCGATGTTCAGGACCTAATTCTTCATTCTGTGGAATCCTTCAGAAGGCACACTCTTATCTCAAAAGGCCTTTACGGTTTTTCAATGTGGAAGATAAGTGGCAGCCCAGAGCCAAGAAAGCTCTCAGGAGCAACGTTTTGGGCTAAACTGTGTCCGCCTCCCACTTGCACGTTGAAGCCCTAACCCCCCAGCACCTCAGAATGTGATCTGTCAAAATTAGTCACAGCATGGAGATCTCGTAACTCACGGCGGACGGAGAGAGAGGAGGGCAGCAGGTGTCTATCACCACAGCGTTTGAGGCTGCTCACCCTGACTCATTTGCCTAGCGGGGAGAGAACCTACTAGCAGCTGGCATGTCAAAGAGAGGCTCATCTCCCATAAACAGCCAAGGGTCTGCAACGTGAGGATGTGTATGAATTGGGAAAGTTACTGCCTAAAGAAAACAAGAGGGATCTTGGGTCGTCTGAGGCTGGTCATGTGGTGTTTCCTTTCTAGTTATGATGAACTTCATCTTCCTACCTGGAGAGAGGAAAATAAAATGAAATGAAATAAAAGGCAGTGAAACACATGATAGAAGGAGCAGCATGTTGCGGGGAGGAGGCATCTCGTGAGGCTGTCTAGGAGCCTTCCCTCTTCTGCATTCTGGGACAGCTAGCGGCAGGAGGGGCAGGAGGGGCAGGAGGGGCAGAAGGAGGCATCTGCCAGCCTGGCTGTAGGGAAAAGTTTAGTTTGGGCTGCCTGGTGTTCTTTCCAGTCTCTGCAAGCTTTCAGTTGAAGAATGATCCATGGTGGTTATTAACCTCCCAAGTAGAAAGAATTGCCACTTCCGGAGGCTCTCCTGCTTTTGGAGATAGTGATCTAGCCTTCTCGGCTTCATCAGATTCAATGGGAGCCTAAGGGTCCTGACACTCAAGCAGGAGGAGACCCTGCCCAAGTGCGCCCGGCCAGCTGCACCTTTGCTGTTAGACCTCAAGGGGCGCTTTCAGCAGCTAGTTTCTCTGCTCATCCTCCAATCCACTGTACTCATTACTACCTGGTTAATATTCCTGGATCACAAATGTGATCATGTCACGCTACTGTCAAAAAGCCTTTCACTGTGGCCCTGCTCTGGTAGCTCAGTAGGCTGGAGCACCGTCTCATATGCGAGAAGGTTGTCGTTTGGATCCCTGGTCAGGGCACATACCTAGGTTGTGGATTCGATCCTGGGTCAGAGCCCATAACACAGGCAAGCAAGCAATGTTCCTCTCTCACATCCCTGTTTCTCTCTCTCTCCTCCCTCCCTTTCTCTCTCTCTCGCAAATCAATAAATGTATCCTCGGGTGAGGAGTGAAGAAAAGACTTCAACTGTCACTAAGGATAAATATCCGAACCTTAGCGCATATTAACCAAATGTCCCCAGTTTGACCCCCAAAACACCGTTGTGACCTTATCACTGTGTGAAATGATATACTTCTGGTTCCTTTCTTTCTTAATAAACATCTATCTCAGTGTCTTATAACTGAGAGATTTTCAGGAAACATTGATTGAATAAAGAAATGGATGGATGCATTCTCCAAAACTTAAAAAGGAGCAAAGGAAAAAGTCTGAATTGGGATGCAGAAATTGGCAAATTTCATTTCCGTGTCTTCCCCATCTTTTTTCCCCCACCCCTACCCATCTTTGATTTCTTCTCTTTTATTTGTCTTCCCTTTCATGTGGAAAGGAACAAAAAGGTGGAATTGGGATGGGTGGTCTGGAATTGCTTTTCACATGCTTAGATAAGGTGGAGACAGGCTTTACTCAAATTTCTTCCTTGAAACCTTTGCTCATATATTTTCTAAAGAATTATTTTATTCTCATTCAGGATAGTGGGGAAGGGGTGGTGGAGAGAGAGAGCAAGAGAGAGAGACATCGATCAGCTGCCTCCGGCATGCACCCCCACCAAGGATTGATCCCACAACCTGGGCATGTGCCTTGACCAGCAGTTGAACCAGGGACCCCGTGTTTACAGGGCTACACCCCAACCAACCGAGCCACGCTGGCCAGGGCCTCCCTGATATCTTCATCTGAAAGAAGTCTCAGCACGAAAAGAGTATATGTCGGAGGCGGTGATCACGGCAGTGGTCACGGGAGGAGGGGAGATTGGAGCTGTACCTTGACAATGGGTATTATTTCCATTGGCAGAAGTGAGGTCACCTCCGGCATAAAACGGATACCCACTACGTAATTCTTCACTGAGTCCATCAGTGAATGAGCAAAGGAAAGAGAGAGAAAACGCTAACTATGCCTGATGACCAATAAGGCTATTTAGCTGAAAGAGCAGGTTCTAGCAGCAAACAAGGTTAATTATCTTTATTTACTGGTTGACTTGAGAGAGAGAGAGGAAGGGCTGTGTGTGTGTGTGTGTGTGTGTGTGTGTGTGTAGGGAGAGAGAAACGTTGATTTGTTGTTCCACTGCTTTACGCATTCATTGTTTGATTTTTGCATGTGCTCTGACCAGAGATCCAACCCACAACCTTGGCATAGGGAGCTAATGCTCTAACCAACTGAGCTATTTAGCCAGCGATAAGAACAAAGTTAAAAAGCAGCGTTCAGTCAAAATGACAACGGATTGGCAAAGAATGTCTTACGCTCCTATATCCAGCATGTTTCCCGCTTAGTTCAGAGTACTTCATCCCTCCAGTCTAGCTGCTAAACTACCCCCAGAAGAATCCTTCAAAGAGAGACAAGCTAGTTGTAAGAGACTGAGGAATTTTGAAGGTAATTTGTGGCACCAAGGCTTAAAAACTGTCACATCTACGATCTCTGTTCTGGTCTTCTCATTTTTTGTTTTTTTGTTTTTTGGGGTTTTTTTGCTTTGACCTGTGCATAGCGGCAGGTGACTCAGTGAGACTCTCTCTCTCTCTCTCTCAATCAAATGAATCTGGGAGGAGTCTGAGAACCTCCAGCGGATTCTTGCTCCCCTGGGAGTGCATCCTGGAGGGATGGAACCTCCCAAATAAGCTGTGGTTGTGTGTGGCCCCAAGGCCAACGTGGTGTGGAATTGGTGGAGTAGCTGGAGTGGAGGGCAGCGTCACAGGGACGCAAGCAGATGCCAGAAAAACTGAGGTAGAGAAGAGGCTTCAGATTGTACTAAAGAGGCTGCAGAGTTCTGTGACCTTACAAGCGGGGCGGACCTCAGCAGTGAGCACCTGAACAATGCTCAAGGTACCGGGTGGTCCTGCCACGGTAGAGTGGGGGCCCGTGGTCAAGATGGCCAGGACATATTGCTTCCCGTGGATACCACGAATTTCAGATGATTCAAGTGCTTGGGGGCCGCGTGAATGATAGACCCTCTGCTGACATTTCTACAACATTTAACAGCTGAGCAATCTGATTTATTTTGAACATTGACTAGTTGATTAGTGTTGCTACGCCTTCGCAGCCTAGATAATGGGTTCGGGGGGCGGGGGGAGTGCAGCAGTGAGTCAGCACAGTGCCCGGCATTCAAGCCTTGTGTCTCCAAATTCAGCACCTCTGTTCCCTCATGCCTCTCTGGGCCTTGCTGATGGCGATGTCAGTCACTGTGGAGATCATGCCTCTGCTGTCCCAAGGGAGGGGCGGCTCCTGGCCTCCAGACGCCGAGGCGCCTGCAGCCCCTCATTCCTGCCCCTCATTCCATGGGACAGTGAGGGGCTGGGCCACGCTGCTGTGTTGCACGTGGCAGGTGTAGGGGCCTCTGTCCGAAGAGGGGACTTTCACTGTCACCCAGGAGTGGTATGTGCCATTTTCACTAAGCACAATGTCTCCCCATTCATCAGTCTCCACTGGGCTGCCTGCCTGAGTCCAGTACATGCTGACTGGTCGTGGGTAGAAGTTGTAGGCCAGGCACTTGAGAGTCCTGCTGTTTCCTGGGCCCACCTGGCTGGTGATTGACACAGAGGGAGTGTCTGTGGAGAGACAAAGCATGGAGGTGAGGGTCTGGAGGTGATGTTTCCCTGCTGAGTGCCTCCCCAGGCAAACTTCGAGGAGATCGGGGAAGCCGAGGCTTTCCTTGAGCTTTCCCTGTGGGACAATGGAATGTCTGTGGCCCCTTTCTTGCCTCCCAGCAGCCACCCTGCCCACGCACTGCGTATCGACTTCTGATGCAGAGAAACTGTGGGCTTTGGGGTGCCTGTCTCCTGCAGCCTGAGCCCTGCCCCTTAGATCTGCCTGCTGCTCTGCCACGGAGACCCCTCCCTCCTCCCCCGACGTGGCCCTCTTTCCCATTGTTTCTCACTAAAGTGAAACAGTCCTGCTCACACTTACTCATCTTCACCCTTCCTGGGCAGACATTGTACGCACCACAGCCAAGCCAGGAGGCATATCATACAGAGAAATGACTGCAGGATTTGCCTGAAATGTTCCCCTGAGCTCCTGGCTTGGGATTAGCTTGGTGTTTCTGAGCTCAGTGTGGGGAAGCAGGACAGAGAGAGCACTTGGTACCTTTATGGTCCAGGATTTTCTTGCTGTATTGCAGGTAGTTCTGCAGCTTCCGGGGGCACTCGTCTTCCAGGTAGTCCTTGGCTGCTTGCACAGAGCCTTCTGTCTCCCACTTTACCTTTGTAAACACAGCTTTTGTTTGACGGGGAAACCAGCCTGGGATGCCTGTGATAAACTTGATGTACTCTTGTCCATCGTAGATATATGTCCAGAATGCTCCACAGTAGTTGTTATCCCGAAGCTCACATCCGAACCTTCCCTCCAAAGTGTGATTCCCTGCATCTGACCGGATCCCCCAGAAATTAGTCAGCTGGCATCAATCATCAGCTCCATCTTAATAACTCTTACCCCTGCACAGTTTGCAACCCAACAGGAAGAAAGGGTTTTGAAATCTAAGCATGCAACCTGCTCCATCTCGGCAAATGGGTTCTTAGCCAGACATAGGGCAGACAGAGAGAGGGAAACTGAGTATGCTTTAGTGTTGTGGGCCAGTCTGAGATAAGATGCATTCTTCCCAGCCAGGGAACTTCAGAGAGCTACAGACTGGGGACAGATCTTCCAGCCCCATGCAGCGTCTCTTTTAAATGAATTTTGTTTTCGCTATCATGTGAGGTCTTAGGAATTGGGCACTAACACACCAAAGTGCACTTTCAAGTTAAATAGAAATTGTTTGTAGCTTAAAATACAGTAGGCAATTTCTCCTTTTTCCCCAGTTATATGTAAAGTTGATATCTCCAGTTGAGTCAGTATAATATCCTCAGTTTATCTCTCTTAGTGGGTTTTTAATATCTTCAAATAAATCTCTAATGCCCACCTCCCTTCCCAATTAGTAACAACTCTTGGAAAAGGACATTTGCATGGAAGGGAGACAGAACCTCTTTATTTCACTTTAGCAACTGTTATTAGCTTTCTTAGGTGATTGGATTCTGGGGAAGATGAAGACAATCTGTGATCTAGCTTTCATGGAATTACCTGCAGAATGATCCAGGGTTTTTTGTTTGTTTGTTTGTTTGTTTTTAGTTTCGGACCAGATAATTAAGGAATTATTGTTCACTGTCAAACGGCTAGTGAATGGCAGAGTCAGCACTTGAACCCTGGTCATATCGCCCCAAGGTTAGCTTCCTTCCCACCTAGCATGCCTGCATGGGGGTGAGTCTGATACCTTCTAGAGTAGGATCTACCTCAGACAGTGGAGGTGTGGAGCTGAGAGGTCAGATGTGCCTAGGCGAGGGCTGAAACTGACTTCACTTCCTGGGAGGGTTGAGGTCAGAAAGTGAGGATGGGGGAAGCGATGGGGAAGAAGGAAAGGCAGCTGTGATGTGGGGGCGGGTGTGCAGAAATGTCCGTGTATCTGCACTTGTTCTCCCCTCCTCTTTTTAGATAAGGAATATTTCCATCTGTATACCCCTTTCTGCTACAAAATGCAGGCTGCCTCTTTTGCTAAGGCTCTATAGCGCAACAATCCGTTGTTCACTGACCTTTGTCCTCGTAATAGCCCATGATGTCTTTCAGGGTCGCCATGAAGATGTCCTCCCTGGCCTTCTGCAATTGAGTTTCCTTCTCCCAGTCCACCATTCCTTTCACCTGTGTCCACGGGCCCAAGGGCTCAGCCACTCCGCTTTCGCTGTCGTAGTGGAGGAAGGCCAGGTCATTGAGGTAGCCAGTGGCCTGAAAACTGGGGAAGCTGGCCTCGGGCCTGGACACCCCGGTATAGTGGAAGCTCAGAGAGTAGTGCCCTGCAAAAAAAAAAAAAGAAGGTTGAGATGTGGGGTCCACGCAGGGGAGTCCCAATGTTGGCAACAGCGGACAAGGAAGGGAGACCTGGTCACTGGGCTTCCTTCCTCGCCAGCTCTTTCCACCCCGCTGTCAGCCACCTACTATTGAAAGCTCACTTGAGAGAATGGGCTCTACTTCTATTCTAGGAATATTTCAGAGATCATGTTGTGTTTTTACTACATTATGTTGTCTCTTAGCACATCGCAAGATAATATTTCTCAGTCTTCTTGTACGTATATTGGGACCATGACTGAGTTCTGTCAAAAGGGAATGTGAGGGGAAGTGATGTCTTTCTTCCGGTCAGAGGCCTGCAAGCTTGTTTGAATCCTTTCTCTCCTATTTAGGGGGTTAATATGGAGGCCACAGTATGAAGCAGAAGAGTCCCAAAATGCACACCGCCTGGATCCTTGAGTCACCGTGGAGCACAAAAAAGTTGCCGGATCTGTATTCATTTTTACATGGAGGCAAGAAATAGACATTTGTTAAGTCACAAAAAACTGTCCTTGTTACAGGAGCATAACGTAGTCGAACCTGACCAATACATGTAGTTAGAAAGCGTGGAAAGGAGAATTGACTAGAAACCTCCGGAAATGGTCTGGAATGGGTCAGCAGAAGGCAAGACCAGAATGGATCACAGTATTGCCAGGGCTGTTCCTGCATTTCACTCTGATGCAGGAACAGGGAGGGGGCGGGGCATTTTCATGATTAACTCCATAATGAATTCATAATAGAATTCATGAATTAGTAACACTCTCATGGGTGTTACTAATGTTGAAGTCATATGGCAGATTCTTCGTTCTAGGACTGAAGCTATTCTTGCTAATTAGTTCCTAAATGTGATTATCATTCCTTTAGCAGACATTCAAGAAGCAGATCATACTCCATAGTGTGGTGGGCCTGCTTTAATCAATTGAAAGCCACAAGAGAAGAGAAGAGAAGGAATTCTGCCTCCAGACTGCCTTTGGACCCAAGACTGCAGCACTGTATCTTCTCTGGATTTCCGGTGTGCTTGATCAACCCTGCCACACACTGTGGGGACTTTCAGCCCCCACAACGCTGTGAGCCATATCCTTAAAAGAAATCTCCCTTTCTGTGCATATATATGCCATTCATGCCTTTTCTCTAAAGAACCCTGACTAAATTACATTTTGATGTAGGATATGATTAAAAATCTAAATGTGATCAACTGTTATAAAACATTCTGACAGTTCGTGAATGTAATAAATTCTAAACTTCCACCATTTAGTTTATATTTCTTCATCCTGACACTTTGTATGCCAAAAAAGCCTCATTACTCTATCCTAATGTTGACCCTAGTTTTGCCCAACCTCCATCTGGCTTCTTTCCCAGTCACTAGCCTTCCAGGCCCGCTGTCGTAGTGTCTAACTGTAGAGTGAGGGAATGGCTTTGTTCCTTGCAGTGTCCTCCAGTTTATCTGCCTTTACAAGTGCTCTTTGGAGTTGCTGTCTTTCTCCCTGGCAGCCAGACAGGTATGTCCAGCCATTGGAAGGAGAGAGGAACACAAGTTCCACCTGTGTGGCCCCCACTCTCTCCTGGCTGTGACCTAGGAGAGGTCACTTTACTTGTTTGGGTTTTAGGGGTCTCTTTGAACTTTTTATATTTTGACCTGGGGGAGAGAGAGACAGAGAAAGAGTGAGAGAGAGAGAGAGAGAGAGAGAGAAAGAAAAAGAAAGAGAGAGAGAGAGAGATTTGTGGTTTCGCTTATTCATGCATTCATTGGTTGAAATTTGTGTGTGTCCTGACTGGAGATCGAACTCTCAGCCTTGGCATATCAGGCCAGGACTATCTGGCCAGAGCATCTGGGACTTAGTTTTGTTTGTTTGCCTACTAAGGATTTTAGAATCTAATTATTTAAGGTCTTACTTAGCATGAGTCCAGAGGCTCAAAACTTCTGGAAGTATGTGAGCAGAGTTTGCCGACAGCCTCGAGCACCCATTCCTACTGCATACTGGGAATCCCAGCTTCATCTGGGGTCCTCTCCCAGCTGGTCTATCCTGCGCATTACCTCCTCTCCATTCTTCTCCATACCCAGCGCTTGGTTCCCAACTCACCATCTTGGGTGTTGGCAGGACCCAGAAGAAGCAGTAGGGACAGCAGGACAGGTACCATTGTGCACATTGTGTCTGGGTGGAAGCTTCCAGGGTTCCCCAGGTCTTGGTGAGATTCTTTGGGTAAACAGCTAGATATAGTTTTGGGAATGGCTGGACTTTGAGCCCCACCCAGGTGAGGTGAATGCACAGGCCAGTGAGAGTCCAGGACGGGCTCCCGTCCTGGCAGTGAGAAAACAGGGTACGCAGGAGGCCAGCCAGGACGGATGTTGTGTTCAGCGAGTCTGCAGATGGTCTGCCAATGGAGGGCTGAGGCAGGTCATCTGGGGACTGGGGCCTTGTTGTTGTTCCATCTGTGTCATTCGATCCTTCTGTTGGCAGCAGCATGTGATTACCGAACTAGTTCCATGGCGTGATGTGGCCTGTTCTTCTCCTGCCCAGTTCCGAGTCTGGGTTTTCCAGGCTCTCCACTGATTCTAGAATGCATGGGCAAATAAGTTTATTTTCTGCTTATGGTCGGAATAGGAATCTGTTCCAGCAACTGGTTTAAGATGCAACTGCTACTGAAATTGGGCATGGACTGTTTTTAAGCAACGGTTGCTTGGGGAAATGGAAGAAGGAGATCCAGTACTGGTTCTGGAATCATGTGGGAGCTAAAAACAGTGAAAATACAGATATCTTGCAGGCTGTGATCAGCAGTGGAGAGTCAAACAGCTGACTGTGTCATCTCTTTTGGTCAACTAAAGTAAAATGTTTAGTGAAGTCAAATGTTTAGGTCCCAAGAGGCTGGTACCGCAGAATAGTGTGAAGGACCTGCAGAAGTCAAGAAAAAAGCTGGGATGGTTGAATTTATAAACGCTGAAAGAAAGCTTAAAAAAAAGGACAGTAAACTCAAAAGCAAAATTTACCAAATCAAAGTCTGAAAACCAGGGAATTTCTATGAGAGAGAAGAGGAATTCTTTTTTCTTCTAGTTGCGTGGATGAAACAGATATAACTCTGATAATGCCTCATGATTAAAACCTAAGAACAAAAAACAAGGTTTCAGAACTCATTCACAGACTTCGGGTCAAGACGGCATCATAGACAGACATGGCTCAACTCTTGGCAAAACCACATCAAAATAACAACTAAATTTTAAAACAACCATCACTCCGAACCTTGAGAAATTGAGTTGAATAGAAATCTGACAGCTGCAGAATGAGAGAAGCCACAATCATCCAGACTATTAGGCGGGCCAAAGATGTGGAATGGACTGGTCACACACCCACGGGCGGTGGATAAAAATTTGGGAGGGATATCTTGGGAGCGAGGAGTCCCAGCCCCACACCAGGCCCCACACCCCAGAGCTCTAGTGCCAAGAAGGTAAGTCCCCACAACTTCTGGCTGCAAAAACAGCAGGGATTGAGTCAGTGGAAGAAACTTCTAGAGCCCCAAGCAGTTCCTCTTAAAGAATCCCACATGAACTCACCCTTTTGATGCTCTTCCTCCGAGCTCCAGCACTGGGGTAGCAGCTTGAAAGGAACCAGAGGTATTGAGGAAGAAACTAAAGTATCTTGCATCAAAGCAAGCAGAGGCCATTGTCCCTTTTCTAGACCCTCCCCCCGCAGAGCTGGCAAGCTGGTACCACATCGGAGACTCCAACAACCTGACTAACACTGTGTGACCCACCTTGGAGGTCCCCAGAGACTCTGCCCCACCCAAATTATGGGCCCACCCAAGCTGCTATTCCATATGAGGGGCTGATCTTGGCTCCTAAATCCTATCAAACAACAAACAGCTGTCTTCAGTGAGCCCTAGCAGCAGGCAGATTAGATTGACAGCTTGGCTTTGCCAGGGAATCTCCAAGCCTAGCACAAGTAGCAGCCATCTCAGATTGCTTTAAAGCTCAGGAGGGTAGCCCCAGGAAAAACAGAGGTGGGGGCTGCCAGGGCCAGCACCACCAGGGAAACCCCAGGCCAGCATACTCAGTGGACAGCTACAGCCCACATCAGAGAACCACCACCGTGCCCCTGCAGAGCTGATTGTTCACGGAGAGCAGAAATTGGGGGTCTGTGGTCATAGGCAGTCCTTGCAGCTGACTGGCCTGGGTAGATCCCTCTCATTGATCTGCCAACAACAACCAAGACTCAACTACAGGAGGAGGGTGTACTCAGCCCACGCAAAGGGCACACCTTGAGTATCCAGCTTGGGTGATGGCGGTGGCTGTGCCACTGGACCCTACAGGACACCAAGGCACGCAGTCAAAGCAGCTCTCCCTAGTAGAAAGCAAACACAGGGAGGCTGCCAAAATGAGGAGACAAAGAAACAAGGCCCAAATGAAAGAACAGATCTAAACTCTAGAAAAACAGCTAGACGAAATGGAGATAGGCAATCTCTCAGACGCAGAGTTCAAAACACTGCTTATAAGGATGCTCGAGGAACTTAGTGAGGACCTCAACAGCATAAAAAAGATCCAGTCAGAAATGAAGGATACACTAATTGAAATAAAGAACAGTTTACAGGGAAATAACAGTGGAGTGGATGAAGCTGACAATTAATTGAATGATTTGGAATGTAAGGAAGCAAAAACAACCAATCACAACAACAAGAAGAAAAAAAGAAGCCACGAAAATGAGGATGGTATAAGGAGCCTCTGGTACAACTTCAAGAGGTCCAACATTCACATCACAGAGGTTCCAGAAGTGGAAGAGACAGAGCAAGAAATTGGAAATCTATCTGAAAAAAGCAGTGAAATAAAACTTCCTTAATTTGGTGAAGGAAATAGATATGCAAGTCCAGGAAGCACAGAGAGTCCCAAACCAGATGGATGCAAAGAGGCCCACTCCAAGACACTATGATTGATATGCCAAAGGGTAAAGATAAAGAATCTTAAAAGCAGCAAGAGAAAAGAAGTTAGTTGACTATAGGGGAGTTCCCGTTGACTGTCAGATGATTTCTCTAATAGAAACTTTGCAGGCTAGGAGGGATTGGCATGAAACAGTCTAAGTCATGAAAAGCAGTGGCCCAGGATCAAGACCGCTCTACACAGCAAAGCTATTATTTAGAATCGAAGGGCAGATAAAGAGCTTCCAAGACAAGAAAGAACTAGAGGAGTTCATCATCACCCAACCATTATTATAGGAAATGTTCAAGGGACTTATTTAAGAAAAAGAAGATGATCAAAACTAAGAACAGTAAAATGGCAAAGAATATATATCTATCAACAATTGAATCTAAAGGACAAATCAAGCGAACAAGAAGGACAGAGACAGAATCATGGACACGGAGAACGTTTTGATGGCTGCTAGATAGGAGGGCCGTGGAGGATAATGGGTGAAGAGGTGAAGGGATTAAGAAGTGCAATAGGTAGTTACAGACTAGCCGTGGGGATGTAAAGTAGAGTATAGGAAAAGCAGTAGGCAAAGGACTTCTATGCATGATCCATGGACATGCACAATGGTGCAGGGGTTGCCTGAGGGAGTGGGCGGTGCTAGGTGGAGAGATGCAAAAGGGGAAAAATCAGGACAACTGTAATAGCATAATCAATAAAATATAATGTAAAAAAGAAAAAAAAAGAACTCAACCACAAAAGGCTTCAAACATCTAGTGGCCAAGTGTGATCAAGACAGTCCTACAAATCTTGTAGGATTGGTACTAATGGTGGATGCCGACAGAAGCTTCATTGGAGAGGGAACTCAAGTGTGGCTTGGCATCAGGTAAGGCTTCATGAGAGATGTCGTTGAACAGGATATTGAACAGGGACAGAATTTCTGTTGACAGCAGGGACAAATTTTAGAAGGACAGCGATGGTGTTTGCTATGTTCATTTTTCTGTCCCTTATAACTTAGCGCAGTGCCTGGCAGAAAAGAGACAATCAATAAACACTTATAAAAATAAGCGAATGGATAAACGAGCAGAGATGAAAAAGAAACAATACCAGATCTATCCGAGGGTCATTGAGGACAATTAGGTGGAAACAGAGTTTAGGTAAAAGATTGGGGGGTAGGGAAGGTGGGGCTATTGGGTCCTTTGATGCTGGTGCTGCTCAGGGGCAGTGGTCTCTGCCTGAGCAAGATGGCTGCTGCCACGTGGGGGATGAGTCAGCACCGAGATCCCACCAGCTACTCTCTCAGTTCTCTCCCCAAAGCCTCCTTCCCCAGTCTCTCCTCAGGTGTCTGTAGCTCACTTCGCCCCCTCCTTTGCCGGAGACTAGGGTAAGTGGCTGCACATAAAAATTTGTGCGTTGGCCCTTTAAACAGTTCTTTGCGTGTCCAGCTGCCTGTCTCTAGCAGAGAGCAACCCTGCCGCTTTTTGCAGCTGGCTGTTATCTGTGTACCTTTTGGGCTCTGGTGCTGTGGGCTAGAGATCCCCACTTTTGGTTTAGACTCCACTCTTCTCAGGGGGATCCAACTGGCCGTTTCAATATCCTTCTGGTGCTGCTACCCATGGGTGCCCCTGCTGCCTTCTCAGGCCTGTACCTCACTCCTTGCCAGTTAGATTGCGCTAAAACCGATTCTTCTGTCTCCAAGGTTACAAGGCTCCTCTCTTGCTATTGTTCAGTTGTTTGTTCCAGGTGATTTCTCCACAATTTAGTTGTAATTCCAGGTTGGTCCTGGGAGGAGGTCAGTGTAACTTCCACTCACTCCTCTGCCATCTTGATTTTTCTGTGTATTTTCTTTTAGAATAATTTTAAGTGCATGAGTTAAAACACATAGGATAGAGAGGAAATCAATTACCTGGAAATGTGAGCCTTTCCTCATGCCCTAGCAGGCCAACCGGCTGTTGGCAGCTCCTCTGCCCCCTTAACAGAGCAACATGCTATTTTAAAGAGACTGGAATTGTTAAGAAGAAGATAATTTGTGGTGACGAGGCCCTCCTGGGGGGAGCATCCAGAAATCACAGGTGATGTTGGTCCTGCCTGCAGGGGAATCTCTTGGTGATTTTAGCTGGGATGCGGGCAGAAGGCGACCATCCATGGACCCGCATTTGGTTCTCTGGACGGCTGCATCCTCCCTGATGTGACCAGTCAATGCTTATGTCCCGATCCGAAATTCAGGTTGGATCCCTGTCAGGACATTGTGATCTTCCCCTCTCAGGTGCCTCATACCCTCTTGCTCAGGAGCAATCTTTTTCTCTTCCTGGAAAGCTGTCTTAGGCTCTCACTCCTCAGGAA